CTAGCAAAGCAGCCAGAAAACGGCCATCTGTTTCTGCCTTCTCCCCCGCCCGACACAGAGTCCAGACAATCCAACCATTTGGAAGTTGACTGAGTATTTCTGGACAGGAGTACATGTCAATAAGCCTGAATGCAAACAGCAGTTTAGAAACCAACTTGCTCGATTAGCTGGGACCAGACCCAAGTTCTGCCTTTTAGCACTCTCACATTTTTTAAATTAAGTATTCACTTCCTTGTCCTACTCATTTCACATCAGGTGCTCTAATAAAGTCCTCCATGGCCAGTACCTTCATTCAAGGTGAAGGAAAAGCATCCTTTATGCCCTTGCACAGGTTATGCAGACCTTGGGTTCAGAGGCAGAGGAGTGAAAAGGCACTGCCTACCTGCTGTACCCCCTGTGCAAGGGAAGTAAGCACAACTTGGATTCCCTCTTCCTCCTGTCCTATACACTCCAGCCTGTGGATCTGAACCCGTAGAGGTCAACACCCTCGTTGACTATACTAAGGGAACAGAGCACTGTCCCTTCCCTGAGCTGGTTCTGAAGGGAAGAAAATAAAAAAAAGAAAACAAAATAACCCCTGTGTTATGCTCCTGCCCACGAGGTCTTATCTGTTTTTCTGTTTTGCTAGGATTTCCCTGGTGGGTTTTTTTATTTGCACAGTGCAACCTTAGCAGCATGATGCCTCATTATCTTCTGTGGGCTCTGACCCACTCAGCTGGGTCATCACTGGTTATTAAGAAAGACTTCAACAAAAAGCCAGAAGAAAGCGATCCATTAAAAGTCTTTGTCCACAGTAGGGAAAGTAGAGCTATACTGGTTAAACTATCCCAGCAAGCCCTTCTGGTGTAGATGCAGTTTATACCAGCAAATGTCAGTATTGCTTGTAGCAATGGCCCAAATGAAATGAGAGACAGCAGCTAAAACATTTTACATTAAGGGGATGTTGTGTCCACACAAGAAGGGCGTGGAAACAGGGTTTGATTCAAATGGGTATTTTTTCCCCTTCCATTTCCATCTGCAGCTTTTCGGCGGCGCAGCACTCGGCATTGTTAAAACTGTTTTATTGCACCCAACAAGTGGCTTTGCTTCAATAGCGTGAATGATTCCCCAATATGTAGCATCTCTTAAATTATACACTAGTATATCAAAGACCTTCTAAAGAATTCTGGATCCTGTCATAGCCTATACATCACAATAGCACATAAGCTTTACCATGCAGGAGCAGATCACTGACCCAGTCTACCAGATATATTGGCCCCTGACAAGAGCAGATTATCTTGCTCCTTGAGGAACATCATCCTAAAGCTTTGGACAGCTTCAGAGATATTCGCATGGTGGTCTTCACATCTGACCTCCCCGAGAGTCTGATGTATAGCACGGATCCCGTCTATTTGGTTTGCATGGCTGCATGGGTTGTTAAGGGTGATCATGATATCCATCCCGTTTTGTTTAGGGATCAGCTGAAGTATTAGTTTAATATCCAATATCTTCCCTTGGAGGATGGGCTCACTAATCTCACAGTCCCCAGCGATTACCTTTCCTCTGCCTTTCATACATGCGTGTGCATGCCCTCCCCCATTACAAAGGTTACTAAGCGAAGCATGTGAAAGAGAAACTCCAGAATTAAGGTTGCCCACACCACCTTAATGTAGTTGGCTTGCACACATCCATTACACTACAGACTTCAGCTCTCCGAGCACTTTTTTTCCCCTTCAATCAACCCCTGCCTCATACAGTGCCAAGGATAGATGGTGCTCATTTAATGATCAGCTGCTCAATATTTTGTTTCAGCCTCTTTGTTCAGCATGTGGTCCCATGCTTTACTTACAGTACACTGTTCAAATGCTGCTCTGAAGACCGATTTATTTGTTTCCTCCAGGGCTTTTCTATGGTAGTCAGCGCTAGACTATCCAAGCACTTTGCATATATTATGTTATATTCCCAGCGCTCCTAGGTGAGTGGAAGAGGCTGGACTATGTCCATTTTACAAGTGGGGAGTAGAGACACTGAGATATAAAATCAAAAGGTTTGGGTGCCCAGTTGGAGACGAGCAAGACCAGATATTTCACAGCACTTAGCTTCATGAAGCACTTGGTATGTTCAAACCCAGGCTCCCATCAGCTCCTTCTGCAGCTAAGAGTACCCAGTGCTTTTGCAATCATACCCCCTAGGTTATCAAGTTGGGCATCTAGAAAATAAGAAATGAGGAAACAACAGCCTCTTCTCCTGTAGGAAGTTTGGTCAGAATGACTTGCCCAGCAGCAAGAAAAGAAACTCGACCACACAAGTAGGGATGCAATCCAGGGCTACAAGACAAGACAGCCACTTCAACAACCAGAAGCCACTCCTAATGCTCTGCCTCACCAGCTCACACTTTCTGATTTTTGCAACGTGCATTTGGGCACTCACCAGACCGCTGTATTTGTCCCAGTGTTGTGTCCCAGCCTGGTGCACTTCAGCTTCTGAGTTTGGAGAGAGAACCCGCACGCTGCCCTTGGCATAGCTCGCCGAGCTCGCTCTCAGAGTGCAGTTGCTGTGTTTGCCATCTCTGCCTGCAAGGCAGCACCTGCAGCTCAACTGCGCATCTCCTTGGGCATATTGCAGCCCCTCAGCCTCCTTTAAGCCTAAAAGCCCCTTCCCCTGCTTAACTCTACCCACGTGAGAGGCCTCTCCCTCTGCCACCCATAACTTAGCAGCTCTCGCCCCTCATCTGGCTCCAGCTGTGCCTCTCTTCCCCTAAGCTGGTGAAACACCAAGAAAGAAACCCCAAAAGAGAGCCAGTCCTGCTCTTTTATAACCTTCCTGCCTGCTCTGGCAGGTGACCTCCAAATCAAGCCCAACAGCTGACCACATCTTTCTGACAGGTGATTTCATTGCTTCTGATGAAGGTGAGAAGAAGCTGGCCTGTGTGATCACATACCAGTGGTGGAGATAATTTATTGTTAGCATATACAGGGTTTACAATCTCAAATAAAATTCCTAAAATGCCCACAGATTCCTCAACTCATTATAGCATCCAGAGATCCAGCCCTTTCTACTGCGCAACCCTGAGTGAGCCTCAGGGCAGGTCCATCCTGAGTCCTGAATGTGACTGTGTAATTAAAGACTTTGTACATATACATAATAGAGGCAAACCAAGGTTTCAGGGGCAGCCTTAACCCCGGCATTTCCTAACTGGCAAAAGCTTAATTTAGCAACTTTAATCATGTTCTTTTTATGGAGTTCTGTGCGTGTGTGCGTGTGTGCACATGTACACATGCATGTGGGGGGGATGCATGTGAGTAAGTGTGTACCTGTATGCAACTTCCCATGTTTTTCAAGCCAAAAGAATAAAGAGAAGTGAAATCCCATTCTGTAGCTTCATCAGCCAAGCAGTAGCTATCTGAGCAGTAGGATTGGACCCCTTAAGCCCCTTCTGCCAGACCTTTGCTACTTGAGGCTGAGGGGCCGAATGGCTTTGTTCGGGGGCTTCTTTCTTGGATATTAGGGAAATCTTTCTCGCTAGGAGGGTGGTGAAGCACTGGAATGGGTTACCTGGAGAGGTGGTGGAAGCTCCATCCTTGAAGGTTTTAAAAACCCAGCTCAACAAAGCCTTGGCTGGGATGATGTAGTTGGGGCTGGTCCTGCTTTGAGCAGGGGGCTGGACTAGATGTGACCTCCTGCGGGCCCTTCCCACCCTCGTTTTCTGTGATTGAACTAAGGCATGACCGGTAGGAGCAGTGACATGTTGTCATCTCTGCTGACCAGAACCAGGAGGGGTGGGGACACACGCACGGCCAATAGTGGGTTTCCCATGTTTGCTGACGGCAGAAGAGCAACGGCCCTCAGGAATTTGGGTTTCCATTCCTGGCGCTGCAGGGAGTACACTTCCCGAGCACGCTCTTCCTTTCTGCTCCGTCTCTTCCAGCCTGTCCCTGCCTCCTCGCTTCTCCGCCCTGACTTGTCCCATCCTCTGTGCCAGCTAGTCAGCAGCCAAATTCCCGTCCCCTTGGCCAGCCATTCCCAGCTTCACCTCTCCACGTCTCATCAAGTCTGTCTCTTTGCTCCCTAAGCTCCTTATCCAGGATAAGTCTCCTCTCCAACCCACTTCCCAGGCCCTTGCCCCAGTCTCCCCCCACACTGGCTTCTTGTCTCAGTCTCCTTGCCCATCCTGTCACAGGCCTTCCCCCAATCCACCCCCTTGAGAGATGTTATCCCTATTGTCACCCACACTTGCTCTGAGCCCAGGCCAACCAGTCCCAGTCTCCTCTTCTGTGAGCTTGTAATCTCGTCTTCATGTTCCTTCCCTAGACACCTCGTAGGCTGCCACTGCTGGTTTCCCCAGCGGCTCCTTTGCTCAAACATTTCCAGCCTCCTGACTTCTAATTTCCCACCTTAGTGTTTTTGCCCTGCCGGTTTGTCGCAGATTGTTATCCTTCCTTCTGTCCCAGTCTCGCCAGTCTCTTTGTCCCATCCTACTCTCCCACCCACGCTGTGGTCTCAATCTTGTCCCTTCTGCCTTGTGCCTAAGTCAGCTGGGGCACCAAAAGGTGTCAGTGGACGCATCTACATGTGCATTTGAGCGCGCATTACCCTTTTTTGATGCACATTAAAGCGTCACAAAAAACCCACGCTCTTTAGCTAATGCACATTAAAACAAGCTAATGTGCATTTTTCTAGTACCTCACAAGGGAAGTAACTAGATTTAACGCACATTAGGTACAGCACATAAAAGAAAGCGTAGACGTGCCCACAGAGTACACCAGAGGCAGGCTCCCTGCTCTCGCATCAAGCGCCTGGCCCCATTCAGCCCACAACGCCTGGGTTCGCGTCTACAGCCTTTAGCCGGAGCATCCTCAATCACCCTGTCAGGTTATTAGCAGTAGCGGGTGTGAGTGTCTCAAGCATATGCCGTGAGCATATTTGGAAATTCCAGCTCCACCTCTGCTATTAAGTCTGCAAAATGTCTAAGACTCCTGTTTGTTGCTGTCTTTTCTTGTCATTGATTGTTCTTCTTTCAGGAGAACCCATACTTGTGCAGTGATGAGTGTGACGCTTCCAACCCAGACCTGGCCCACCCGCCAAAACTTATGTTTGACACCGAGGATGAAGGGCTGGCCACTTACTGGCAGAGTGTGACATGGAGCCGCTACCCGGAGCCCCTGCTGGCTAACATCACGCTCTCCTGGAACAAGAGCATCGAGCTGACAGATGACATTGTGATAACCTTTGAGTATGGCCGACCCACCATCATGATGCTGGAGAAGTCCCTGGACAACGGGAGGACTTGGCACCCCTACCAGTACTATGCAGATGACTGCATGGAAGCCTTTGGCATGCCAGCACGGAGGGTCAGGGACCTTTCTACTACCAGTGCCAACAGGGTGCTGTGCACGGAGGAGTACTCCCGCTGGGTGGGCTCCAAAAAGGAGAAGAACGTGCGGTTTGAGGTGAGGGATCGCTTTGCCATCTTTGCTGGCCCAGACCTCAAGAACATGGACAACCTGTACACCAGGCTGGAGAGTGCCAAGGGCTTGAAGGACTTCTTCACTGTGACCGACCTGAGGATGAGGCTGTTGAGACCGGCTCTCGGGGGGACCTATGTTCAGAGGGAGAATTTGTACAAGTACTTCTATGCTGTCTCCAACATTGAAGTCATTGGCAGGTACCCGCTGCTTGTTTGCTTTCTATCTTGCTGCTTGGAGGGCTGGGAACGGGGGTATAGTGTTGTTTTTAGAAAGCTGAGCTAAGTATTTATTGACTTAACAGATTATCAACTCGACATCTCTCCCATTCGCCCTCTGATTTGGTCCCTAAATCAGAACAAAGTCAAAAGAACAAGCGTACTTGTATGATGGGTAGCTTGTTGCCCAACAGGAGCCCTCCTGAAGGAAGCATCTCTGCACTGGAGACTGAGCATTGTGCTTCCTTGTGGATATTAAGCCTGGCTAGTGCCTAGAGTGAGGCAGCCAGAAGGGGAATGGGTTGTGCAAAATTCTGTTCCCCGTACTTCCATCTCTGCCACTGACTTGTTCTTCATCCTTGGCCAAGTCATTGAGCCTCTTATATGCTCCATGCTCTCCTGCTAGCACAGCTGCTTGACTCACCATCATCAGTGTCTGACCCTACCTCTGTTTAGAGTGCCATCTGGCAGCTAGCACCTTCCCGAAAAGGCCAAATACCTATTTTGATGTGTTGAAGGTCACCCTCCTCATGTCATGGCTCAAACAAGGGAGCTCCACGTGAAAAATGCACTGTACGGGGAGGATGCTAGGAAGAGCAGCCCTCCAGGACCTGCCCGGCTACCCCATGCACATCACTGTGTTAGTTGTGATGGTGAGGGTTACATCGTTCCCTCCTGCTATTACAGGGCTGAGCTCCTTCTCAGCCCTGTGAGCTCACCTCCTTCCTGACATGCAGCACCCACCCTGCTCTTCCAGCTCACAGCCTCTCCGGAGGTAGGTGTTTAGATACATCTAGAGTGGCAGAGTCTCTGCCCCCAAAATCTTACAGTCCAAGGAAGGGAGTCGCACATGACAGGTGCTGGAGATGGGTAGCCGATAAAGCTCAGACCATCAAACCCTGTTGATTTGTGAGATCAGTCAGGATTTGAACACAGGGCCCAGAGCAGACCATCCACATGACCAAGCCCCAGGCACCCCCTTGTCCTTTGCCTCAGTCCTGGCTCTGTCGTGCAGCTCAGTCCACTAGCAGTTTTGGGGGCAGCTTTTTGTTTCTTCTTGGCTTTATTCTTTCGTTTCTCTGCGCAGTGCCATATGTTACGTTATGACATCAACCAACAAAGCAAAGTAAGGTGGAAAAGTGCCGAGATGGCTAATTTCCCACCCAGCTTCTGGATTTCAGCTTGTTTGAGACTTGCAGGCAAGAAGGGGGGGGGGGGGAAAGTCCCACCCAAGGAATGAGACTCTCAGCTATCACCATGGTGACAGATGAGCAGCTTGTACCACTTCCAAGCTGTTGGCTTCTGAGACGTACAAGTAGCAATGTTTTGCAGGTGCCACCAGGACGGGCTTTGTCTGAATTTGCTCCAAGGAAATGATGACAAGAAGCTGAAAGGCCCCTCTGTTCTGAGTAAAAGCTTGAGCGGAGGGCCCGTCGGAGAAGCGGCTCAGCTCCCAAGGACAGACCTGCCCTCCTTCAGTCGTGGGCCACCCGTTTTTTTGACGGGGACCCCCACAGAAGTCTTCCCCTTTAAGAGGCAGTATGTTAGGTCACTGGGAATATTCATGCTCGCAGAGAGGAACTGGGAAGGGCCGGGGAAGCCACAGGTTCATTTTCCCCTGATTATAACCAAGGTTGGAAGCAGCACACTTCCATGAAGCGGCAGGGGATGGAAATCCCTTTTTTCTTGGAATACAGCACAGCCTGTACGATCGGCTAGGTCCACAAAGGGGAAAGAAACTGTCCCCATGGAAGTATGATCAGAAACCCCCAGGGATAAAGTCGTCGCTCTGCAGGAAAATCAACCCCCCCCCACCCCCCGTCTTCGTTCCAGCCAAGGAACGTGACTGGAGACCCAAGGGCACAAAGGTCTTTGCTCTCTGGTCCATCTCCTGCTCGTATGGCCCTTTGCTTCTGCAGCCAGGGTCACCTCTGCCCTGCAGGGCTTGCTGAGAGCTTGGCTCGGCAGCTGCCAAGGCATGTGGTTGATGCGGCTGGCAGTAACCCATCCATGGGTACAGCAAGCCCACTCTGGCTGAGTCTGTTGGCAGAAGGGATTGTAAGAGAGGCATCCGTTCATTAGGCCCGGTTAGGCTCACGGGCCATGACGGGACTGCAGGGCATGCGGTTTGGAGGATGCCAGATCAGGATCAGTCACCAGGTGCCCCCTCTTGGGCTTAAAAAAATGGGTGCGTTTGTTATCCACTGGGTGGGCAGCCCAAGAGGATGATATGTGGAGCGCGGTGGGGGCAAGCGGTGCTTTCTAATCCAGATGAAGTGCTCCCTGCCCTCTGGCATTTTCAGTCCAGGTGAGACTCACCTGCTAACTTTTTGATCTAGTTTCCACACATTACCTGTTTAAGCCTCGGAAACTCCGCTCTGAGGCAGGTCAGGATTGGCAGCCCCATTTTACAGGGGCAGAAGCCAAGGTAGCCGTGCCACCCCCAGAAATGTTCAGGCCTGGGGCAAGTCACGCAGTCAGGCCTCTCTCCCTCCAACACTCTGGTACCTCTTTGCAGCTGGTATTCTGACGGGAGATGGATCATTTTGGATCCACCCTGCTGACATCCTTGCCCTCTTAGCACCCACTCCCTGCCATGGCAAGAGACAGACGAGTGGGATAGTTGGTCTGACACGGCATCTCTTCCGCTCGCTGCTGACATTAGGGTAAGAAACAACCTTCAGCAGGTGCCCGGAGAGGTACCACTGCTCTGCTCACCTGAGCAGCGAGAAGGATAGGTGTTGATGAACGCCACGGTGCTTCTTTACTCAGGATGCAGTGGTCTTGGAGGAGGCTTTGAGCAGGGCTTACATCAAGGCAGGGCCAGCCCAATTCCCATCCCTGCACGCCGCGCTTGTTAGCAAAAAGTAAGAGGTACAGAACATAAAACGCGCTCGAGTGCATTCATGTTCTTTGGAATCACTATAGCTATCAAGAGGCTTTTCCCATCCCTTGGGTACTGCACTAGCTGGTTCACTTGGGTGTTTCTCCTTTCTTTCTGTGCTGTTCAGGTTCTTCACTGTGATACTTTTTCTCTCCTTAATCAGAGACTCAGCGAGAGCTTCACAACAAGAAAGACCTTAAAAAAAAACACCCAGCACACCAGCCTTTTTGGTCCTGTGGGCACAGAGTTCCACTTACTCCGTATTTACCATTCAAGCCCTGGCTTTTGCGTGAGGCACCTCAGAAACTAAAGCCAGCTCTGACCCCAAACTTAATGAGATTAACTTTTGATTTATTTATTTGTTCTTTCCTCAAGCAAGTAAAAGCCGCAGTGGGTTGTATAATGCATCTCTAGGGCCCTCAGCAGAGGGGAGGATGGGTTCGGACTGCAAATGACCACTGGAAACGGCTGTGCACTTTCCAGCGGGGATGGAATTAAATGCTTTTTGGGCTTGATTTTTTTTTCCCTTCATTTCTGAAGACCTCCCTTCTGAATTGGCTGAGTGCCCCATGAGGACAGCTGCCCTTGGCCACTATGGGACAGTGGCTTCTCTGCATTGCCAGTGCTTACCTTTGGCTTCGGGTAACACTTCCCCTGCTTATGCACTAACTCCTCAACCTCCCCCACCCCACCATGAAAGATGAAGATGAGTTTCTCTGGATGGGAAGAAATACCAGGTTGAAACCAGGGCCAGCCTTATTTCCACTCCCAAGCTTTAGAAACTCAGACAGAGACCCAGTTTTGAGTAACCCTTGGTTCCCCCACTTAGAAATGGCTCAGTTAATTATGCAGAAGACACCCTTTATTTGCCAATACATGTGGAAAATGGGAGGGGGTCCCCCTCCATCTGGCTTTTCCACAGCTCTCAGTATTGCTGCTCAAAGGCCTAATGTTGAGGGAAGAATTCCTGCCTGCTGGAGAGGAGCCAGGGCCGCAGGGAGGAGAGTGGGGGAGAGAGAGAGAGAAAAAAAAACTTCATGAGAACCGACATCTCCTTCCCTTCCCCGTCTACTTCTGCAATTGCTTTAATTCCAGCCAGCAATTTTTCACGGGCAAGTAATCTAATTGTGACTGTAAGTGAAGCTAATTAAGGTGCAGGTACTTAAAACCAAATTGAATCCTGTGTACAGTGGAGCAAGGGACGGGTCATCAAGAGCAAGTAAGGGGGGAATCAATGAGAGACTGATATAAATGCAGCGCAGGGAAGAGGTGAAGCTAAGCACACCTGAGACTGCTTTGCTGGGCTAAGAGGCGTGGGGGAGAGACAGCGTGCACCGGGGAGCGTGCACAGAAGTCTCCCAGGATACGAGTACTTCCAGGTGGAAAGGGACAAGCGTGCAGCGAGGAGGTCTGTTTTGGGGGAAATCAGGACTGGAGGCTTAGAAACTAAGAGTATTACTGTTGAGAAACAGAGCAAACGGGGGGAGGAGAAACTGCAGGTAAGAGGACGTGTTTGCCTTATTCCATCACCTACAGGCTGTAGGCCAAACTTTGCTGGGAGCCATGTTGTTGTGCTAAGGATTGAAGACAAATTAGGATTTCAGACCGGACTAATCTGACGGATCATTTCATTTCCATTCACCCCACCCCTTAACTAAATAGCCTGAAATCCTGATTTACCAAACACATAAGCAATGCCAATATTTTCGTGAAGCTTTGAATGCAACACTTAACCTTTAAGCAATCCTAACAGGCCATATAGCTATTCTTACAGGAGCCAGGCATCCATCACCACAAGTCAAGTTAGAGGCTGCTGCAACCGCTGGGGCTCCTTAGCAGCTGCAACAACCCTCCTGGGTTAGTTGAGTTGCTTTGCATCACCGGCGAGTCTTTGGGCAATGACCTGGGGGTGCCCATCTCCTCTCCGGGTATGGACAGCTGTTGGCTCGCAGGGAGCTCATCTGCACTTTTGACAGGTCTTGTCTGCAGTGTGCACACACCCTCCTCACCCAGGCAAGCCCAGGTGGGAGTGCCGGTTTAGTTGCTAACAACCCAGCCGTGAAACAGGCTGTTCTGGTTTACGTGGTACCAGATGGCA